GATTATGAATTTTCTTATCTTTACAATAAAAATGAGCAAAATCATCATTTTCGCCATTTTTTGTCATTTAATTGACGCCGTTAATTTGAGTTTTTTCCCACAATTTGCAAAAACATCAATTTTAGTTTATTTTAATTAAATATAGGGGTAAGCGGTTAAATAAAACATAAGCATTAAAGTAAGAAGTCGTCCTGGAAGACTGGATTTGGTAAATATTGCTTAAATAATTTTTATTTCAAAAATATTCACTTGATCCCTAGACACTTTTGATGTGTGTATTTCTGCCGCCAAGCAGTAACATTAGCGTTACTGCGTTCCGGTTTTGAAGGGTAAAGGTGCTGGTGAAATTACAGGTACATGGGACTTGTCAACTTATGTCTCAGGGTGACGCGCGCATTGCCTCTCAGATCTTTGCAATTGAAAACTCTGAGTGGCACTGCAATTGCTATGCACAGGTGTGTCGCTGACCACCAGGCCCATGGCTTGTTCGCCCCGTCACTTGGTATTATTAAAAAAAAAATGCTACAATAGCGCAGTCTTGCTAAAAATTTTTTGCGTAACTGTGGTTTCTATGAGAAGTTTACTACCTTAAAGATATACAAAACACGAAATTATACTGAATTAAGTATATTACTTGCGCGTAAAGTGAGATTTGTCCAGTAGTGTCCAATGACGATCTTTGTTGCTTACTATCAGGGCGCACGACTAGTCAGTTCCGTCACTTGGTATAATACAAAAAAAATATTTTCCATTAAAAATAATAAATAATAATTATAAAAGAAATAATTATAATATTCGGTAAATCAATTTAATTGGTTATGTAATGTAATGTAACGTAATGTAATTAATAATGTTAAATTTATTAATGGGTGTATACCTAAATAAAGATATATAAAATAAAAGCAAGCCCGGCCGCATATTGCTTAATCAATAGCCTTAACCTTCAACATTTCATACCCTTTCCTCACCGGTACAGGCAGACACCACTTCTTCCACGTAACAAACGATCCCAACACAATATCTTTCGCTTTATCGACACTCATCAATACTTTCATACACGCTCTTCAGTTAAAGCGTGAAATACACAGAGAACGCCCCGCATAATAAAAAGCACCCGCTCTCTGTGTGTTTCACGCTTAAGGGTATTTTGACCCAGCCTTTCTTTAGGATGTTCTTAATCTGATTGTACTAAATTCGCCTTCAAAGGCCTTTTCAATAAAGTTCGTCGTTGTCTAATTCCGCTACGTGGTCTATATATGTACAAGTATACGCGACTGTACTCTCTTAACAAATTACGAGAAGCAATTCCAGCGCCGTTTATGAGCTTGAAATTTCTTTAATGAAGTAGGTTTTATGCGAACCACGATTGAGACTTCAATTTTACTACAATTGCCTTCGGAGATCGTTATTTGTTCGGGGTTAATAGTTTTGTTTTATGTTCAGAAACTTTTAGTAAACGGATTCTTAGAGTTACTCATTGGACGCTACTGGATAAATGTCACGTTAGACGCAAATAATATAATTCAGTACAATTTAGTATACTAGTACGTAGAAGGTGCCATTAAAGCAGTAAACTTCTAATAGATATCTATGATCATGGTTACGCAAAAAAGCGAGACTCCGCCATCGTAGCACTTTTTTTAAGATACCCAGTAACGGGATGAGTGTGGTGGTAAGCAACATGCCTGTCCATAACAATTTCATTGCCACTCATAGCTTTAAATCGCAATAATCTGTGGGGCACTGCCACTGCGCCCGTCACCCTGAAACATAAGCTGACAAGTCCCATGTGTTTGTAATTTCACCAACACCCCTACCCTTCAAAACCGGAACGCAGTAATGCTCATATTAGTGCTTGGCGGCAGAAATAGGTAAGGTGTACTTCAGTACTTCCCTGGACGAACTCTTTCACAAGGAGCTCTATGGCTAAAGCACGCCGAAATTTAAAAGAAATTGCGTGTAAAGTGTTTGTTGTTTGTTATTGAAACAGAACCAAACCTGTAATTTGACGCTGTCTATATTACATACGAGCCCTGCACCCCACTTACGGGTACGGGCACTTACGGGTCGGGCTCGGCCTGCGGCGCGTGGTCGGTTTCAGTTTACGGGGTGTGCTCATGCTCTTCGGTGGCACAGCAGTTAATACTGTGGGCGCTTGATGAGGAGGTCGATTCCAGATTTATGCCAATTTAAGAAACGAACATTTCTAAGTTTGTTTTGGTTTGAGTATTCTGGGTTATCGTTGATTTGGTATTCATAGTACCTACATAGTACAGGAAATTCGGAAGTAGTTTGGCATTTTTTCGCCCTAAATACTTCTCTTTGGCATAGCTTTCAAGAAAATGAAATCTAACTTAGAGACAGTTGAAATACAATAACGCTATAATAAGTGTCTCATTTCCACTACATCGGGAAGCATGCTTTACATTTTTATAATTGTGAGATTTTGTACTCGTAATCTATTACGTCTCCGTATATTTTCTCCATTTGATGGCGTGCGGACGCTTCGGGCTTCGCCCTCCGCGAACCTCGGCCTCCGGCCTCGGCACTTATGGCTTTGTTTTAAAAAAATTTAAATAGCTCTTTAATGGCGGCCATATTTAAAAATTGCAAAAATAAATTTTGACCGCTAAATATTATTAAGCACTCACGGAGACCCCGACATGTCCACTTTCAATCGAATTAAAGCAAGTTTTTATCTGGCGCTAATAAAGTTTGTATGGCAGCCATATTGAAAAAAGGCGAAAAATAAATTTCGACCGCAAATTATTATCAAACACCTATAGAGATCCCCACATATCAATTTTCAGCCGAATCAGAGCAAGTCCGTTTTGGCAGCCACTATTGACGAAAAAAACGCTTATATGACAGCCATATTAAAAAATTGCGAAAAGAAACTTTTGACCTCAAATTATGGTTAAAGATTTCCAAAGACCCCCGCATACCAATTTTCAGCCAGATCGAAGCAAGTTTTTCTTCGGTCACCATTTTGAATTCGCCATCTTGTTTTTTTTAACCCAGGCAGTTGACCACTATTAATCTCTATGACATTCCTTCGAGCACCTCCTACCTATCTCTAATAGTTTCCGTGATAGGAGACTTTGAAATTTGTATGGCGGCCATCTTATTTATTTGAATTTCGAACATTTTTTACTTCCGGCGGAAATTGACCAGGGTACACCCGTACTATTGAAAATGTACCCTTTTGTCATAGATTAAGTGCCCATAATGTCGATTTTAATTATTACCACGCTTCTACGACTTTTGAAGCGAGTCGTTGAACGCTGACCGATAACTGTGACGTGTTTCTGCGCGTGAAACTCAATAACAAAAAAGCTATTAACTTAATAAGAGTTTTATCTGCAGAAATATGGTGAATTTCTTACAACTGATACATAATTTGGAGAATTTTTGTGGAAAATGTCACTTATGTGGTTTTACCTTTAAGCAGACGATATATTTGTGCTACGAATCTCCCATTTTGCTACAACACTGTGTGTACTTATTCATATGCTACATTCAATTGATGTAACTTACAATGTTGATGAAAAGTTTTCAATGGAACTATGAAATAATTGCAAGTCACGTCCATCGTAGATGTATTCGTAAAGATAAAGTTACGAGCTAAATATGTATACACGTAGTGAACTCTAGCCTTAAACAAATCTAAATTTCAGGTTTTGAGAAACGCAAATTCCGGCAGTGAGTTGTATTCCTTTGCTATACATATCAAGTAAGATTTTAATACGATTTTCGCAGTAAATATAAAGTCTACGTTATTACTCATTAAATTGGTCAAATATAGTATAATTTCTAATTTTAGTTTATAGTATTTAAGCTTTTAATGTACATTACCAGCATATTTTAACAAACATTTTTGTATATTATTTCATTGTAACTTCGCTACGTGTATATGTGTGTAGTTTACGCCACTTATTTTTTCTCATCCACTTATGACTCAGGGTGACGCGCGCAGTGGCAGTGCCCCTCAGATCTTTGCGATTTAAAGCACTGAGTGCACTGCAACTGTTATGGACAGGTGTGTCCCTTACCATCAGGCGCACCACTTGCTAGACTCGTCGCTTGGTATCATAAAAAACAGTTTGTTCCAACTCTTAAATTTCTATCCTAAGTTTGCTTGGAAGAAATTGCTATTTAGCAATAAGGCCACCTGTTGTACGTTGGCTTACTCTGTAATACTATTATTGTTTTGTGTTGTCATTGTAATTTTAACGTGGAATAAAGAATATTTCATACATTCATAAAAAAAAATTTGCTCTTGGTTTTTATTAAGTAACTTTTGATATCACAGTACCTACCTATCGAGTTCTTAGGTTTTCGCGATTGTTACACATAGGAAATGAAACAAGTCTGCAGTCTGCGAGCATGTCATGGATAAACCTACACATTCAATGAAGTTTGACAAACCCCAAGTCCTTTCAAAAGAAGTCCGTTATCTACCCAGGATTTCTGGGTAGATAACGTGGATAAGTAGATATCTGGTGGTTTCTCAGTACCACCAGTTTGGGATCCAGTATATCCTCTGATGAAAATCCCAACCAGACATAAGACTGCAGTACTAATTAATATGTTTTAGTTTATTCCAATTTCTATTATTAATTAATAATAAATTGAACTCAATAAAAATTCATTCAATAAAATGGATTTGGAAAACTTGATGTAGCGTAAATTGAACGTTTTCTTTGTAAAATTAAAAATAAGGTATTTAATTAATAACTATTGTAACTATATTGAAAAAATAGGGAGGTTTGCATTAATATTAGACATAACTGGTTGAAGACTGTACCACCTCAGGCAACCGTGACCATGGGACCTGTAAAGGGCCCGAAATCTCGGTTTGTTTGAAAAAACAAATATACGCGATTTAAATCCGGGATTTAAAAAAATAGTTTCATTTCCTACAGTACCTACCTTTTAAAACATTTTTGTTTTTGCTATTGCAATGGTCTAAAAGGAATGAAAAGTGAATATGTACTTACCCTAAACTCGGCCTGTTCCACACGTATGTCCCACTCTCCAGGGAGGCGGCGCCCACGGAAGTACTTGGACCAATCGGTGTTTTGGTCGTCGATGACTAGCAGCGTTACGCAACGGTCGCGGTTATACCCACGACCAACGGATGCCACCGATGTTACACTCCCTATACGAAAATGAATTCACTTTACTATAATCATGCCAGTTTATACGTATCTACTGGTGGACATAAACCACCTCCTGAACACAGTAACTATAGACGAAAAGAAAATATGTATTAATATTTATTGCATCGAAGTCCACGCGCTTCGCCATCGTGTCTAGGAAGGCTGTCCACCACAATAGATTATACATGTATTAAAATCCTACATTCTTAGAAGCTGCCGACCCGCAACTTGAGTCCAGACTAGAGAAAACTCGTGTACAGCAGTGTGATGTACAAGGGTTAATGATGATTTCATTACTCTAGACCCAACTACACATTTAGAGTTCTTCTTTTAATAGGCAATTGTACAGTCTAATGGCGACGCAATAGCGATTGCTATGAAATGTTCAAATTTATTGGTAAATAAAGTCCCAAAACGCGGTAAGTGATAAACCCCCTATGACAATTAAACAGTCGAGGAAATTATGGAGAAAACCCAAAGTACAAACCGCCACAAATTACTTAATTGCTTGCGCCTTTATTATAAGCATTTATAACCTCCGCTCGCCGAGATACGCTGTCAGAATTCAAACAGAAAATTCCGGAAATTCAAACCTTTTTCCGATATTACAAATGCTAATGCAGATAAGATCCTTTTATCTTGAACCTTTGGAGATATATCGGCTTTATATAAAGTAAATTAAGTCAAATACCGAGTTGGGAAATATCAAGTTATTCTACATTTAGAAATTATTATTTAAGGCGAAACACGTGAAGAGAAAGGGGAAAACTTTGCTAGGTTAAATGTTTTGATATTTAACATTATATAACGGTCGTATACAAAAATATACGATGCACCCTAGGATATTGTCTAAAGAATGTGCTAATTGTTACACGACAGGATGCACTTTATCAGATCATATAAAATCTTGAAATCAGGCTAAAATAAAAGTTTAAAACGAATTATTTAAGGATAAACTATCTAACTTTATACATAATTTTTATATGAAGACATTTTTCTTTAAGTACTACAGAGAACCTACAAAATTTATACTTATTAATTTCACATTTATCTCAAAATTTGCAAATTGCCCTGCGGCAGCGGATTAACGATACGCCGTGCCACCCGCTGACCCGTCAGTCGCCACCGCGCGCTTATCGACGTTGGATATGAGTCAAATGTTCTGCGCTTGCTCTTATTTTTAACGGACTTCAAAAAAGAAGGAGGTTCTCAATTCAATTGTGTTATTTTTTTTTTGTATGTATGTTATGCGATAACTCAGGCATTTGTGAACCGATTTTGAGGATTTTTTTTTTGTTGGAAAGAGTATTAGTCCCATTAAAATTTAAAGAAAATATTCCACCTCTAAGTTTGGTACACTAGGGGATGAATCCGGTTTTGCGCACTTTCCAGCAACCGATTTCAATAAAATTTGGCAAATAGAAGTAATTCCATTACACGAACTTTTGAGGTCTGTTTATTTTATAAATTCATATTAAGTATCTCAGTACTGAGTACTAAAAAAACCGACCTCAAAAGTACGTGGAATTACGTCTATTTGCTAAGTTCTATTGAAATATCTTTAAATTCGCCACTATACAGGACTTGACACTGGAGATAATAAAAATCGGTTCTCACCACTCAAACAATATTGAGACAAAAACGCCTTGAATTGGAGAAATAGCAAAATCAATCATTAAAATAATTGCTCCTCAAGAAAATTTAGGCGCTATTTATAAAAATGAATCTTCATGCGTCAACAGTCACCCTTAGAGGTGGATGATTTCCTTCAAAATGAGATGGAACCACTATGGAAGTAACCTCTTTCCAACAAAAATAGAATCATGGAAATCAGTTCGCAAATACCGGAGTTATCGAGTAACATACATACAAAAAAAAAACAAAAATAAACATACAGTCGAATTGAGAACCTCCTCCTTTTTTGAAGTCGGTTAAAAAACAAGAAATCTCCTAAAATCTATCTATATTTCGCGTTGTATATTTCGCCTTAAGACAACCTGGAAGAACGTTTTATACAAACGAAGTTTAATCATACTTTGGAAACTTCCTAATCAATCACTGTAATTGACCCTGAAGGCCACCGGCGAAAGTCCTCGCTAAGAAGCTTTCTGTTACCAGAAAGCCTCTGGTGAATAAAAGTTTGGCAGTTACTTCCACCAAAGAACAAGCTTAGCTATCCAAAGGGAAAACATGAACAGCCTCTTAGTCGCGATGCTCTACGGCGTGACCCTCGACGAAATACTTATTTTTCTTCTCGTTTATATTAAGCATATTATTTTGTATACTTTTTTCTTATTTTTATGTGCACTTATGTGATTCAAATTCAAAATATCTGGCTTTGTTCTTTACATTTAAGTATTACTAACGATCAACAAAAACGTGTTGTAAATACGAGTTAGACACTAATATTTAAGACGGTAATAGTCCAGTTTCCTGTTAAATAATATAGTTTTAACAAAGCCTCAAAATCTCGTAATTTACAACTTTAGAAAGCTAACTAAATGCAATATTAGAAATCTAAATAAATAGACATATATAATTAGATTTCTGTGTTCATAACAATAAAAGTCTATATCGCCAAGAAGAGTAATGTTTTTCTATTATGAAAAAGTTATTTACCCGTCTACCATTTTATATTTTTATTAAACACCGGAAGGCGAAATACTAACTTTACAAACGGAAATGTTTTAAAACGAGATTTATCTCGCCCATGCACCCGTGTTTGCGTCACGGCATATAGAAACGACAATAAAATTATTATGACATATTGCGCCCTCGTGGTATGCGAGCAACTATCCTATTCAAAGTCAGTTAAGAATTGCCATATCTTTAATTTTAAATACACAGCATCAATATGTTTCAAAAACGTCGACAAAGAAGATTTAATTTCCTTCATAAGTTGTGATTCGCGTACAGCATCAGTAGTTTCCCTTGTCAGACCCTTGTGGACCCTTGAAGAAGAAATATCTATCGAGTTGCTATCATAGAGGAAAGAAATTACAGACTACGCCACGGCAATACTTATAACTGTATAAGCCCATTATCTGAAGAATTTATAGCATTAAGCCATTACCTTAAAATACTTACCTAATAAATTAGACCCTTGTTCCCTTGCGGCTCCAGTTAGAGATTGCACACGTTGGAGTAAGGATTCTCGGGATTTGGCAGGTGATGACGGAGCAGATGTTCCTCGAGAGCCCCCTCGGAGATTCAGCGATAGGTCCCCACCAGCTGCGCCGGAAGACGGCGCCGGCGGTGCACCTGACGCGCTGCCAATGCTACCACCAGTGACTACAGAAAATATATAGGCTCGTTACAGTGTCACTTTTACAGCCTCCGTAGTTTATAACACTCTATACGATAACGGTCAGTTACGAACCGCAAGAACTTCGACATACCCATAACAAATCTGTCAAACCGTTACCTGTTAAGGCAAACATCTTGAATGAAACTGACGAAACTGGAAGACTTTATATATTCCTAAAAGCACCCAAGAAATCATTGTAAATGAACAAATTGATCGGTTTAGCAATCATTTATAAAATTACTCAACGTCTATTAGTAATTAATTGGACGGTGGCATTAAGTAAGCCTTAATAAAAGCTAATAAATAGCAGCTGTTCGCGAATTTAATTATAAACCTTCCAAAATAAGTATATATAAGTATATAAATATACTTGAAAAACCCTGAAAGTGTGTTTTTAGAACTGGTTCTCCCCAAATAATAATATCAATCAGCGCACAATTGCTGGTGCGGTCACAACGAAGAGTTGGTATGGTTCTAGATTAGAACGGTTTACCGATTTTTCTTCACTCGAATACTTTCGGTTGAGATTAACTTCCTTTCAGACTGTACAAGACTGTATTGACACCTTCTCATCCAAGCGTTCATAAGGATAAATAAAAATAAAAACAGAAATAACAACAATGGCCAAAATACTAAATCTCGAAAAAATTAAGGTGATATTAGTATTAAACTGTGTAGGATAAAGATAATTTTTAAATAAAGCCGCATGTGGCAATTAATACTTACCCTGTGATACAGGCCTCTGGGTGCCAGGCTTCGGCTGGCTGGTGGTAGCCGTACGGCCGGTGTATGGGTCCACTTCGCCTTCATCTGCATCCGACTGCAGGTCTCCCGAGCTGAATCTGCGCAACGCCTCCGCTGAGCTACGCGCATCGCGCCAGCCGCGCACCACCGCACCAACAGGGACACGCACAGGAAGGACACACCGTCACACACATGTAGCCACTCATCTGTTACCTAACTTGTGCTCTGCTTTGTACTAAACTAACTGCATAATATACTTGTATCAATCCAACTATTGTAATTCGTGCTAAGCGTTTGGTGAATATTTCTTCCTACAGGCATCTATCATTAATTCGCGGCCTATTGTATTAATAATTACATAGAGTAGATTCGTTTAGAATGTAATGAAGAACGATCTCTCTGCTGAATGGAATCCAAATTTAACTAAACGTTATTTATTCATTCTTTGTAACAATGGTGTCAAAAGCTTGCTCAGTAAACTAACGAAATTAGCAGACGTGGAATAAGTAAGGAAAAAGTGGACCGTTTCCAATGATGCCTATTTAAAACCCAAGAAAATGGGTTAACAGAGACAAGGGAACCAATTTGCTTTTATTCGCTGAGTTTCTTCTAGATCTTAATGCATTTTTTATTTGCTTTCCTATAGCAACAACAATGATGTGATTACGACAACCAAACACCAAAATTGACAAGCATCATGCACTGCCGACGAGTTCGTTCATTTCATTCTCAAGCAACATTGATGAGGAACGAAAACTGACATTGAACAGCGCGTGGACACAAAATATATTTGAGATGATGAGTGGTGCTACACTGTATGTGAACAAGGGTTAGGACGGGCGAGTGCGGAGGGGAAGCAAGGGGAAGCGCGGTGAAGCGGATTGGCCCTTTCACGTTATTTCGTATAATGTTATTTTTTAGCAAAGATCGTGGATTACCATTATTTATTTTGCATTACATATTCAAGGGTCGTGTTATAATATACATATGTCAAAACAGTAAGGAAAAACATTATTTAACCAAAATATGACGAAATTTTTTTAATTTGTAAGATTAAGAATGTATTTATATGATGTCATAAATAAATAATTTCACTATATCTACAGAGAATCGCATTAAGTGGAGCAAAAATAGTTCAAAGTCGAAAAAGCAATTATTAAGTAGGATAAACTTTTACGTGAGAATTGATTAAAAGTAAGAATCAAACGCTTTTCATAAACATAGGTACATAGAGGACACTTGTTAAAGCAAGCTCAGAAATAAGATACAACATATACCTACAAAAAAAAAGCTAAATAGAAGAAAAATACACACAAGCCACGGTAACGTAATAAAAAAAATGGAAGGGGCGTAAATACATAGTGACTATTTATTCATGGAAGAAGAATTGTATATTTCAATATACTATAAGTGTAACAAAAATATTTCACGAATTTTACGACGGAAGTTGCTTTTTCCTTTATACACATAAGTAGTAGTCTTTATATGAAATACATGGTACTTTGTCAAACCTTACGAAATTGTTTTGTTCCTTGTATTTTTAGGAACGCTCGAGGGACACCATTCCCTCACGTGAATTACCAAGCCTCAAAGTACCGATTTTCCTATTGAAGCCATGATCACATGACTTCCAGAGTGAAAATTAACGGGACGCTATCTAGACTATCTAGACCGGAACCTATTTGTAAATGTGCCTTTCCTAAATTAGTTCCACCGGGACATTTCAGTCCTGCAGTTTGTTTCACGACTCCTCAGCGCCCACAGTGCTGGACGTTTTGCCATCATATACATTACGTTACAATACTTCGCTGAATAAACAGTCACACTGTATACACGCGAACATCAATATTGGTCGGGTTTCTCAACCTTTCCATGACGAAGATCGCTTACCTTCTTTTCAGGTAATTGACATTGCTGGTAAAGGAAGTGCGGAAGCTTGAGAAAGACAGGGTTGATGTGGTCGCGGCCTGCGGGCCACAGATGCCTGGACACCCCGCACGCTCTATTTTGACGTCCCCTGCCATACAAGTTCCACAATGTTGACTTTTTGAACGGTTACGTTGGAACAAAAGCTGGATATCAGATTTAACAACGAGTTTTTTAAAGCAGAAATCTAAGCTGACGAAACAAACGTTTGAAGCCACACCGGTACTGTAATCTCTTATAAGATCGCTCCAGTATAATTAAAGAACTTTTTTCTACACAATCTTGTTTTCTTTATAGCCTTTTTTTTTCTTTCCAAAATGTTATATGCTACCGTTGGGGTAGCCATCAAATATGAGAATAAACAGATTCCACAATCTGTTCTCTGATCAAGCTACGTATAAGACAAAGCTAGTGTTGACAGCTGACAAATCTAGCAGAAGGTTTTGTGGACGTTTACATTATATTAATGCTTGAAATCACGGCACATGTTCATTGTTATAATTGTAATATTTTAGTTTCATATTGACGTACGTATTTTACATAGTATGTTTTTAGGCGTTGTACACATTATAAGGGGATCGAATTTCAATTAACTACCTTTAACAAGGTTGGGATATCACAGTTTTGTTATCAACAAACAATTTAACTTCGCAAATGTCCCAAAATAGAACTGAGATATCATTAACAAGTATTGGCAAACAGTATTGATGGCTCAAATAATAAGCCCAGCGATGGACCCATTTTGATTAGGGAGATTACGACTATTTCTATATTCCATCATTCCGTCAAGGGTCTCTTGAGTGTCATCAGTATTTATACAAAATCCTTGTAGATTCAACAATCTTTTCTGCATAAATTAATCTGTTAAATTTATGTCCGCAATTATAAGGAAAAGTTTTATTTTTACAAGGTTTTTTAAACAGAAACAACCAGTTTTCCTGTGGAAATTCTAGTACAAAATCTCGCATCATTTGTAGTTGTAATAATTCCATATTTGCAAAATTACAACTTTCTAGAAAGAGGTTTGAAGATTCTACGAACGCAATTCCACGCATACCTGGAGTCGCAATGACATTACTTCAAAGTATATTTTGGTTGGACTTGTAGATCAAAATTATGGATTTTTTTAAACTTGTGAATTGAGTTGCTTTTTTTTATTTATAATATTTTTTTTTTTATACATGACAGGCAAATGACTCCACTCCACCTGATGTTAAGTGGAAAGTGGTATCCAAACGCGAAGGAACCTAGTGCAGCGATGAAACCCTCACTGCACTAGCACTGCACCTCCACCCTGCCTGCCTACACTATGCCTCTTCACGCCTCGTTTGAAGGAAATAATGAGAGTGAAAGGAAAAGTCAATACTATTTCATACAAATTCAAATGGACTTACGGGATTCATTTTGGCATTTATATAGAGACTGTCAACCTGTTAACCGATAACTTTTTTATACTTCATTAAGGTTCCTGTAATAAAAACCCTTTTGATGTATGTTCACATGTGGCTTTATTTAAACAAAGGGTACGATATTTTTATTAAATTTAATATATATAGCACAGACTACATCTCGGGTGATAAAGTACTTACCGCGGGAAATCTACTGGCAAGTGTTGTAACAGCTGGACTGAATATTCAGATACGATGCGGACTCACGGTGGCAGCGGGCGTCAAAGGGGGGAAGTATCTAGTGACAAGCAAACGCAATTTTAAGAGAAGACACGGCATTTTGTATCTGAGCATTCTTATATATCTTATATTTAGTAGCAGTATAGCTCCTTGTGAAAGAGTTCGTCCAGGCTAGTACTGCCACGTTACTTATTTCTGCTGCCAAGCAGTAATTTGACCATTATCTGCGTTCCGGTTTTGAAGGGAAAGGGTGCAGATGATTTTATAGGTGCATGGGACTTGTCAACTTATGTCTCAGGGTGACAGACGCAGTGGCAGTACCCCTCAGATCTTTACGATTTAAAGCTCTGAGTGGCACTGCAACTGCTGTGGACAGGCGTGTAGCTTACCATCAGGCACACGACTTGTTGGTCCCGTCACTTGAAATTATTAAAAAATAGTAATAATAATAATTCATACTTATGCTTGTATACTATATAAATAGTGTAAATATTACATATATTAATATTATATTTCCGTTTTCAATTTTCCATATTTTCTGTACCAATTGATCACTAACTTTAATTGGATAAAGATTATTGTTATCCATGGGATAAAGCGCTGTATCGCGAGTTCGGCTACAGAGGCTTACATAAATTACAATGTACTTTTTTCTGTTCTGTGGTACATCTGTGTTAAAAACTAAATAAACATTACTATGCTACACAATATGATGGATTTATCTCAGCTTGTTCAATCAGTGCTTAAAATAGCCATTTATTGTGAAATTAATATAAACAGAAACTCTGGATTTAAAAATCAAGTGTCTCTTGATGATGTTCATTAATTTGGCTGCACCATTATGAAAGTTAAGATTTAATATTGTTATGCACGCCTGGTGAATGGTAAAAATCCCTATAAAATTCAAATGCCGTACAACTTGAAGCACCTCAATTTAATTTTATTCTAAAAATGATATACACGTCATTTCGTTTTGCAGAAAAGGTGGCAGAATTTAAACTACGAGAAAGTCTTATTACGGCACGTATAACCATTCGTTTTGCTAATCATTTTGCTGACTTCGTGTCCCGTTGGCCCAGGAAATCACTCTATTCTTTCATCAAAAATCCGAATAGACATGACCATAATAAATTCGATTTAAACTATTTGAAATAAAAAATAATATTGAAGTTTTTCCTCACTCACACTTTACGAGGAAAGTTACAACACTAACTTCGGTCAAAAAGAATTCGAACCAAATCACGTTCCTCTAATACAGTCAGCATTTTTAAAAAACCTAATAAGGATCTTTAGCCAATTTTAACCATTTTCGTTCTTAAAAAAAGGTTAATTCTATGCTTGTAAATTATTTCGTGTGAATATAATGACTAATATTTTTTATTATATAAATAAATATTTAGTAGCAGCCGAGCTCCGTGTGAAAGTATTCGTCCAGGAAAGTACTTCCACTTTACTTATTTCTGCCGCCAAGCAGCAGTGTGAGCGTTAAGGGTGCTGGTGAAATTACAGGCACATAGCACACTGTCAACTTATGTCTCAGAGTGACGGGCTAAGTGACAGTGAGCCCCACAGATCTTTGCAATTTGACACTCTGAGTGACACTACAACTACTATGGACCAGACTTACGACTTGTGCGTCCCGTCACTTGGTGCATAAGTAAATGGGTTATGAACAAAAATTATACCAATCACACCAGCAAGTTAATTATACAATACCTGTACATTTTATTAACACCTATAAAACTTTGAAACGATGTAGATACTGTTATCGAGAAATGACGTGCTTTTTGTTCATTCCCTAACATTGTAAAATACAAATGTTAGTATTTTACTACAAAGCAGCACTGCCGAATCATGAATACTAGACAAATGTTATTAAACATTTCCACGTTTTTGTCGCGAATGTATATTTCCATAATAAAATAAAAAATAAAGTTTGCTTGTTTCAAGTGTGCACGTGAGTGAGATCATCAAACAGAGATAAATATTACTCTCAAAAAAAGGACTTCATAAATAAAAAATCATGTAAATCAATTAAATAAAACAAATAAATAATAAGATTGATTATTTTAAATTGCGTGCGAAAATGTGGTTCCATTAAGTAACAAGTACAATTTGCAGTATACTTTTAGCGCTTTCCACGTAGTTACAAGAAAGTCAACTCGGTAATTATACAAATATCAGTAATTAGTTAGCAGCCCATGTTTCCGCCCCAATGTCGACCGCCTGCCAGTCACGCTCTGGTTTAATTCACATGTAGGAAACGCTTTACATCCAGTCATGATGCCACCCGCCTTATCTTACCAAAGTTGTGTTTACTAGTAACGTCAGCTGTGATTTTTTTTATTTCAAACTAACTTCAAAAAAAGGAGGAGGTTGTACGTTCGCCTGTGTGTATGTTTTCAAATTACTCCGTCAATTGTGGACCGAAATTGAAAATTCTTTTTTGTTTAGAAGGGTGCACTCTCATGGTGGTCCCAATGTCACAAAGGCAGAATCTGATGAAGGAACCCATGGAAATTGAGGGAAATCCTCAAATTTGATAGGCATGTCCGTGAATGTATCGATTTCTCCATCAATTACGGACCGATTTTCAAAATTATTTTTTGTTTGAAAGAGTATACTCTCGAGGTGGTCTCTGATGCTGTGCCGGGTTCGTTTCGGCAGGTATCACGTGAAATATAGCAAGGGCAGCCTAACGGTTTGACCTACCGCCTCCCAAACAGAGGGTCGATAGCTCGAATCTGGACTTGCACCTCTGAGTTTATGTACGAAATTTAATGGAGGAAGCCAGTGCCTAGCAGTGAGACTAATATGCTAACATCTCGTGAAATTAATTTTTAAGTTTTAATCAAAGAATATTGAAAAGAAACATCTGTGAGATTTTAAATGGCTATCATCTATTTTCAGTTTACACACGTAGAACTTCGTCTTGTCGGTAGGTGCCTAATCGAGTGAAGCACATAACACGTGTCCAGAACAGGCACACAATGTTTGAATACTTAGGTAATGAAATAGTACCGGACAGGCCAATACTGAAACGCTAGAATAAGTAGAGTTATTCTTTGGCCCGCAGCCAACGGCCCACGCCATCGACCGTTACGCAACCCTCGGGGTAGTAGACATTACTGGGCCATTGACTTCCATTTCGGCTGTAGTACTTTCCCAGCTTTCTCCTTAAATTTTGAATAACGCCAGTTATACACTTTGCCAAAGTCGTTTTGTGCGTCTGGTGTTTGTTTTCACGCCGTTTTACGTCGTGTAAATAAATAAACCCATCTTCAGTTTTAAATTAAATCTGTTATTTTAAATTAAAACGTGCAGATATTTCATCAAATTTTAACGGTATAGAGTAATAAATCTTTTTTGTATTTGATACTGATTTAAATATATTCGTTTTCACCGAAGGCTCGCTTGATATTTTTAAATTCTTGAGATTTATTATCGTGCCATACAATGCGTAGCGATGA